CCTTGATCTCAGACTTCCAGCCCCCGGAACTGTGAGGCAATGTCTATTGTTTTAAGCCACCGGGTGTGGGCCTGGGAAACTAACACGGGGCCAGAAGGAAGGGTCTGCTTTTCCCCACTTCATGGCCTTCACCACCCTCTGAGGGATACCCCCACCCAAGCATTGCCAGCTCCCTGACTTGTCTTCTGTGCCCCTCCTTGGAGCCCCTCACTTGGCTTCAGGCTCTTCTGCTCCCTCCCAGCAGTGGCACTGGTGTGGGGTTGAGTGTGGTAAGGCATCTTCCCCTGTTCTTCTCTTCAGAGCCACTGGTTGAGGTTGGGGGCAACACTCAGGCCCCAGTGATGGGCGGTTTCCTCCAGGCCGTAGAATTCCTTGTACCTCTTGTGTTCAACTGTGGCCTCGAGCACCAATTTCCCAGGCGGCAGGACAAGCCCCACTCACCATCCTGTTATTCCTGACTTGCAAGCTCAGGTGGGTTCCCCAGGCCACCAAATAATCCTTGTCTCACCCCAGCCTTCACGTTCAGGCCTCTCCTGGCATTCACCTGCTAGGCCCCTTCCACCTACAGTGACCTAAGGACAGGTGCCTCCTGCAGAAATATTCTGGGGTCTGCTCTTCTATAAAATTTTCTCCCTTCCTCGGTAGGGTTAAATGGATAAATGAATAAATTAATGAATGGAAATCCACTGGGAGAGCATAGTGTGAGGTTCTGGAACTAGGCTGCCTGGGTTTGAATCTTGGGACCAAGACTAGGTATGTGACCTTGGTCAAGTTACTTAGCTTCTCTGAGTCTCAGTTTCCTCATCTACAAAATAAGGAAAATAACAACACATGCTCTTGAGGTCGTTGTGGGGATTCAATGTGATATTGCCAACAACCGATTTTGTGCCTGACGCCCATAAAGATAAACTTGTCATCCAGGGTCCAAGTCTCAGTATCTTTCTGCCTCATCCTGTGTCTTTGCTTAGAACCTAATTTCTTTAGGTCCAACGTAATCTTTTTTCACCCACTGGGTTTGGCTAATTCATCCAGTGCTGAGTAATTTATTATCACAGGCAGTGCTCTGGAGACAGAACAAAGGTTAAGATGCTATAGGCTGGATGCATGGGGGAGAGACACATTTTTCGTCTGAGGAAACCGGATATGTAGAAAAATGGTACACATGCCAAAAGGGGGCCTGGATGAAATTAAACCTCTTGACTTAACTGCCAATTAAAGCCTTACAGCGGCAACACAGGCTGCAGCCTGCAAACTAAGCTGCTCTGAGACTTCGTGTTGGAAAAAATGACTCCAGGACCCCCTTTAAAAATAAGAGCATGGCTCGGTGGCCCTGTCCACGGGGAAATAGCTGCTGTGTGTTTCAGAAGGTCTCCTTTCTCCCCCTTCTTTAAAATGCCTAGGAGATTTGACAAAATCCACTTAAGAGATGAGCAGGAAGAAGATAATTGGTCTCCCACCCAGTCCCACCCCCTGGGGACCCAGCAGGGGGACAAAATGGACCTCAGAACACTGCAAAATATGCAGCGTCATAACAGAGACTGCCTTTAAGTGTGCGCCTTCTGCTGTGAGAAAACTGGTGCTGAGCAAAACTTCTGTACCCCGCAAGTGATGCGTGCACAGCGCCTGTCAGCTGGCAAGCCATTCCTGTGCTCTGTATCTCAGACATCCTGTGGACCCACCTGGGTACAGGGGCTTAGGCAAACAGGGGTGAGGCAATGTTCTCAAGGCAGCTGAAGGGGTGCAGCTGGGACTGATCCCAGGCTCCTTGGAGGAAAACCTGTGCTCTCTCTCACGAGGCTAGAGTACCCCCTGTCCGCCTCTTTCTTCCAGAATGAATCCAGGTCTGTGGTCTGAGATCCGGAGGAGAATGGCCTGGTAAAGAACATGAGGGCTGTGGCCTCAATTTTTGTATTTGGTAGCAGAAGGCAATTCCAGATGGACCCACGTTTGGAAAGCATCAAAGGAAGAATTTGAGGAAACAGGATATGTGAAAAATCAAGGGTGTGCTCAGAAGGCATTCTGGTCAATCCAAGAAGAAGCTTTCCCTGCTTCTCCAGACCTTGAAGTGTGTGAGGCTGAGGTAAATAAAGGAGATTTCTTGGTTTTTTTCTTGGTACTTTCAACATCTTGGTAGGTAATTAAAACCAGCTGGATGCCACTCTGGTGAGAACTTCTGGTAAAGGTGATGGTATAAACCTGCCTAATGAGCATGAAGATGACAGCAAAGGACCATGACAGTCATTACACAGAGAAAGCTCAACTCTTGAGGTCTTCTGGGCATCCATAAACAACTAAAGTTTCTTTCTAGCTGCCCAAGACCAGAACCCTCTGAATGGCATCATTGCTGGGCAAGAAAACTGAAGTTCATGGTTTCCAGTTTGTCTTTGTCTTCTCCTTCTCTCCTCTTCCCTCTTTCTGTTATTAATTCCTCTCTAGCCATTTTCAGATGGTTCCCCTCTTTACAAGAAAATAGCATGCAAAAAATTAACTCAGTGTCTTTGAGTTATTCTTTGACTCTATGCTCCAGCACTAGCTAGCTGGCAAAGGCCCTTTGGCGCATCACGTAACCTCTTGGTCCATGTTTCTCTCCTCTGTAAAATGGGGTTAATAGCTCCGACCTCTGGGATTATTCCAAGGATTAAGTCAAATAGATAACCCATGAAAAGAATTACACACATGTCTGACATCCACTAGTGCTACTGCTAAACTCATCATTTCTATCAGTTTCCTATGGTAACTGTTGTCGAAAACTGACCTCCGTGCCTCAGAGCCAAAATATAACGCATGAAGACAGAGTTTGGGGTAAAGAGGAACAACAGCTTTATTGCTTTGCCAGGCAAAGGAGGCTGCAGCAGGCTAAAGCCTTCAAAACTGCAAGCCCTCCCAAAGGTCAGGGCTGGGGTGTTTCCTAGGGACATCAGGATCTAGCTGGTTTTGACAGGAATTGTGTATATGCTGCCAGCCTCATTTGTCACGTCCTCCGGGTGATACGGGGTTCCTGAAACAAAAAAGCTAAGAAGAGAGGAGGGAAGATTTGGGGAAGAGAAGAAAAAGGCTGCTTAGTTTAAAAATCGAGCCTTGCTGAAACATTAGTGCAGCCATTTTTATTTTTGTTCAACTTTGTGCTTTTAAGCCATTTCATAATTAATTACTACAGATTTAGTGGCTTAAAACAACACAAATTCTCCTATTTTTCTGGAGGCCGGAAGTCTGAAATGAGCCTTACAAGGTGTGATATTGTGATTTATAATAAATATATATTTGGTCTTCAGCCCAGTTCCTGGCACAGAGCTCCTAAACCCTTGGAATTTCTAAGGGAAGACAGCAATAAAGGAGTCTTTTGTTATGTCGATGAGTGACTTTTGGAAAGCACCTAAGCATAGGGGCTGGTTGCTAGGAGAACCATATCCCATGGTGTGATTAGACAGTTGGAATTTTCAGTCCCACCCTCTGACCTCCATGAGGGTAGAGGGGCTGGAGATTGAGTTCAATCACTAATGGCCAATGATTTAATCAATCATGCCTAGGTAATGAAGCCACCATAAAACCCTCTAAAAAAGTTTGGAGTGCTTCCAGGTTTGTGAGCACGTAGAGATTTGGGGAGATTTGTGGCTTGCTCGGAGAGGGCAAGGGATCTCCATCCCCCTTCCCAAACACCTTGCCTTAGTGCATCTCTTCCATCTGGCTGTTCTTGAGTTACATCCCTTTATAATCTAAACCAGTAATCTAGTAAGTAAAATGTTTCTCTGAGTCCTGTGAGCTATTCTAATATATTAATCAAACCCAAGGAGGGATTCATTGGAACCTCCAATTTAGAAGCACGGGTGACAGCCTGGACTTGGAATTGGTATCTGAAGTGAAGGCAGTCTTGTAGGACTGAGCCCTTAACCTATGGGATCTGAGGCTATCTCCAGTTAGATAATGTCAGAATTGATTTGAATTGTAGGACACGGTTGCCATTGGAGAATTGCTTGGTGGTTGTGGGAAAACCCTCACCCATTGAACTGGGGTGCAGAATCACTACAAGGCTAAAATCTAGGTGTCATGGTGCTGCGCTCCTTCTAGAGGTTCTAGAAGAGGATTTATCTTTTCCTTCTAGAGGCTGCCCGCATTCCCTAGCATGTGGTCTTTGACCCTTCTGATTACATTGGGCCCATCCAGCTAATCTCCCCATCTCACGATCTTTAATTTAATCATGGCTGCAAATTCCCTCTTGCCATAGAGGTAACATATTCACAGGTTTTGGGGATTAAAAGACGGACACCTTTGGCAGGGGGTCATTAGTCTAACACAATCAATAGTTTTATCAAGACTAGCTCATTGACCTTATTTCATTCTCATTAAATCTCATGAAGTAGATACTATTTTATTCCCATTTGGAAATTGAGGCACAGAGAAGTTAAGTAACTTTCCCAAAGCCACACGAACAGTAAGTGCGACTGGAAGCCAGGAAACTGGCCTCTGGGGTTCACGTTCTTACCAGCTGAAATATGTAAGGTGGCACATAGTAAAGCACTATATTAATGTTATCTATTATTATCATTTCTACCAAGCTTAACATAATAATCCGATATAATATAATCACATATGGTTCTTGTGAGAATTAAATAAGTTAACGTGTGAGAAGCACCAGACAGCGCCAGTCATACCGCAGGTCTTCAAACGGCATTTAGACCTTTCCAGTCCTACCAATCCACCTTTCTTTTCATCACGAACGTTGTGGTCACTCCGCCCTCCCCAAGATGGCGCCACCCCAAGACCCAATCGGCCCCACTCAAGATGGCGTCCATTGCTCCGAAAGCCACATTCCACCCTTCTCAAGATGGCGCCAACACTAGTCCTTGTTATCCTTCCTCCTTCTTCAAGATGGCCTTAACACTGGGCATTCTTTGACTCTCTCAAAATGGTGGCAGACGCAATACACACAACATCGGACCTTTCCAAGATGGCGCCAGCGTCGCGTACTTATCGTCGCTATTATTACAGACACTTCCGGTTGTGCCCAACGCAGGCATTTGAGGCCTGGGGGAGGCTCTGTGCCGGGTCCGGGTTTGCGCTGAGACGCTCTGGCGCCAGAATGGACCGGAGGAAAAAGCCTTTGGATGTTACGGCCTCCTCGGTGAGTGCGGGCACAGATGATGCTACGGGGCTCCGAGTTCTCCTCATCTCCACTAGACGAGAATCTCGACCTTGTTTCTTCACTCGGGAGACCCAGACCTGGCCTTCCCTCAAACAGGAACCCAGACCTGGCTTTTCTCGGTTGGGGACCCGGGCCCACTTTTCTTACTTACAGGACCCCGTATTTGGCTTCTCCCCTCGGACGTAAACCCGGACCAGGATTTCCTCCTTAGATACAGACCTGAACCTGGTGTCTTTTCCCTTTTAAGAGTGTCCCTGCCCCCCCTCTGCGACAGCCGGGCCAGGCCTCCTTGCCAGTCCTGTCTCCCTCTGTGCTTGCTGTGCTGACACTTTCCCCTTCCTCGTTTCCTTTCCAGTCCAGGGACCAGCAAGGTCCTCCCAGAACATGAGACAGGGTGACTTATTCCCCGGGATCCGAGAGCGCCCAGCGTCCCGGTCAGGAACTAAACAGTTGTGAATGCACCCATAGGTTGCGGTGCCTGCGGGTTGTAAGGTCTAGCAGGATGTAAGCAGTTTTGTTAAAGTAGGTACTTCGAGGAGGAAAATCTGCTCCGAGTACGTTTCTGTGCACTGTCTCATTGAATCCTCTCAGCTCCTTTAGAGAGTAGGTGCTATTAATATCCGTGTTTTATAGCTGATAAATTCGAGGCCCAATAAGGGAAAGTGGCTTTTCCCCATCTTACATACAGAATTCTTAGTGGTAGAACTGGCGCACTCAGGCTGTTTGTCATCTTTCTGTTACATGAGAGCAAATTGCCTAATCTTTGATTTAATCTTCAATTAACCTGCAAAGTATTAGGATGCAAAGGGAGTGCAAAGGAAAACTACTATGTGTCCCAATATTTGAGTCTCTTTTCCTTGTCTAATATTGAAGATTAGTACTGGTTATTATAGTTGAGCGTAAGGAATCAAAAAGCTATAAATATTAAAGTTATTCTATCCTGACAGGTTAAAATTTAGCAATAACCGTAGTAGAAATGCCATCTGGAAATGGACAGTTTTCAGAGCATCTTCCTTTTAAAACTCAAAAGTAGTCATAGAAGAGGAAAATGTGTGGCTAGAAAATTGTTACAGTGAAGAAGGCTCAGAAGAAGGGACTAAAGTTTTTGTGTTTAGAAACTTAGAATATGTCCTGGGATGAAACTGCCCTTGATGTTATTAAATCCCTGCCAAGGCTGCTTTTAAATTGATGTCTTCCAAAATAGAAATCATTGAACTCAGTCATTTTGATTTCCCTTAGAGGTCAGTCTGTGATGCTGGTGTATCTGATTTAATAGGGAGCTGTATCTGGACCTTTAAAAAGGGAACTCTCATTTTATCTTTCTTTGCGGAGAACACAGTGGTGATTTGTGCAAGTGAGAGGCAGGCATGGATATTCACCCAACTGCCCTGTTCCCTTTTCCCTGGCCTTTCCCATTCTTGAACCCTATGATTCAGCTAAACTTACAGTTTCTAGAACATACATAAACTTGGAGCTCTTCTCATTCACTCAATCCACTTTATTTCTAGCTGTTGAAATCTTGCCTCTTTTTTTTTAAGTTTTATTTATTTAAGTAATCTCTACACCCAGCATGGGGCTCAAACTCATGACCCTGAGATCAGGAGTTACACACTCTTCTGACTGAGCCAGCCGGGCTCCCCTTGCCTATCTTTTAAGGCTCAGCTCAGAGCTGTCTCTGATCACTGTGGACAGAAGGAAATGCTCCTGTAGCTGAACTTTTATGCTCTTTTCTTCTACCACCTCCCCCCACCATTTTATTTTTAAGTAATCTCTACACACAATGTGGGGCTGGAACTCACAACCCCAAGATCAAGAGTCTCATGCTTCACCCACTGAGCCAGTCAGGTGCCCCTGTTTTCTTCCACTCTTGAAGTCATTTATTACATTTTACTGGTATTACAAGTTACCTTTTTTTTTTTTAATTAGGTTGTAACTGTTTGAGACAGGAGAATGTCTATTTCATGTTTGTATCCTTTTTTATAAAAATTTTTTGTTATGTTAATCACCATACATTACATCATTAGTTCTTGATGTAGTGTTCCATGATTCATTGTTTGTGTATAACACCCAGTGCTCCATGCAGAACGTGCCCTCTTTAATACCCATCACCAGGCTAACCCATCCCCCCACCCCCCTCCCCTCTAGAACCCTCAGTTTGTTTTTCAGAGTCCATGGTCTCTCCTGGTTGGTCTTATGTTTGTATCCTATTCTTCAGTGCTCAGATAGTTGCTGAACAAAGACATTTTTCTGCAGAAGTAATAAATTTTGATGATTAAATGAGATTACAGTATAAAAAAGCCAAGTACAGTGTCAGGCAGAGAGAAGGTATTTAAAGTTGTTCATTTTTTTTTTTAAGATTTTATTTATTTGTCAGAGAGAAAGCACAAGCAGAGGAGCAGCAGGTGGAAGGAGAAGCAGGCTTCCCGCTGAGCAAGGAGCCTGATGTGGGACTCAATCCCAGGACCCAGGACCCTGGACCCTGGGATCATGACCTGAGCCGAAGGCAGCTGCTTAACCGACTGAGCCACCCAGGTGTCCCGTAAAGTTGTTAGTTCCATCTGAATTTAACAGATGCAAACTTCATTTACTTTGCTTAATCACTCTCCCCTTAGCCCAGTATTGAAGGTTAGGGTAGAAATACATTACCAACAGAACTGGAATGCAGTATGACTTTGTTTTATTTTGTACATTCAGGCATTTAATTTTGTATCTATTATTGTCCATTTATAGGAACTTTAAATCTTGCTTTGGGAATTACAAGAACTTGGAAATCTAGTCAGTCATTCTAATTAAATGTTTTTGTTTGCTTATTGGTTTTATTCTAGTTGGTAGACCTTAAGGCTGAACTCTTCCGAAAACAAGAAGAATTCAAACAAGAAAAACTTCTAAAAGATTCTGGAGTTTTGGGAAAACCAAAAACAACTAATAAGGTAAAAATAAGCTCTAGTTATCTCCATTAATTCCAAATATGGGGGAATTATACTATACCTAGGTTTTTTGAAAATGTGCTGGTCTCTGCTACATGTAAAAATTAAAGGAAACTCCCTTGTAGCTAACCATCTGCATAAAATGTTTTATATTAAAATAGAAATTAGAGCATTTAAAAGAAATTAGAGCACTGTAATACTGTAATTAGCTCTTCTTTTGGAAGAGTGCATGTTTTAATTAGTGGTTTGTGTACATTCTCATGGAAGATCAGCTGTATAGGTATTATTAATCCAGACAGATAAACAATTAGATAATATAGCCATATAGCAGAAAATATCAGGGTCTTTAACAGTTGTGAATAAGTTGTGGTATTACTTATATTACTGAATCTATTGAATTAAGTTGTAATCATTCAGGAGATAATAGATAAGTAACTGTATCTTGTAAAGGAATTCTTTATATAATTTAGGGCTTTTTTTTTTCAGCACTAGCTTTTCCTTGTATAGTCTCTTTGCACGACATAGGTTGGCTGTCAGATCTGGTTTTCTCCATTGATTCATAAGATCTAATCCGTTTTTTTTTTCTTCCGATGTGTAAGTAGAGATTTTTTTTTTTGCAATCACTTGGTTTGTTTTGTCTTTTTAAATAAATATGCTGCAGAAACCAAGTATCTGGAGCAAACAGAATGCAGGAGTTTCAAATCGAGCTGAGAAGGATGCAGAACAGAAGATCGAGGAACAGAAGACTTTAGACAAAGCAAGGTAAAGTTAAGCTCTGCTAACTGTAGTTGCCTCTGAGGCTACCCAAGCAAAGAAGTGAGAGTTCCACTTTTACGCTTCTGAATTTACAGTTTTAATTTTGTCATCTTTTCCATCATATGCTCTATAAATATAAAATAGACTCTAATATAATTTGCCGATGTATTTGTAGTCTTAAGAGAAGACATAACCTCAGTCTGAAAGATGAAACAGAGCCCTACTTTGAGTCTTTGTTAGGCTCTAAGATCATCAACAAGTGTTTAAGAAGTGTCCCCATGGTGGTGTGGCTCTCGGCTACTAGTTAATATGACAGTAGCATTTAGAAACTAAATTTTCCCCCTAGCTTTTAATTTTGAAAAACTTGAAAACAACAGAATAGTTGAAAGAAGAGTACAGTGAGTCTTCTAATACTTTTTACCTAAGTTCACCAATTAATGTTTTTCCACATTTGCTTTTGCTTCTCTTTCTCTCCTCTTTGTGTGTGTATCGAGAAACTTTGTTAAACATTATGATACTTTGCCTCAAAATATTTCAGTATGTATCTGCTAAGAGCAAGGACATTCTCCCACGTCACTACGATAATGCTCACACCCAAGAAATTTAACACCAATAAAATAATATTATCTCTTAAATGGTCTATAGGCAGAGTTCACCAGTTATCCTGATACAATTAAGTCCTTTGTAGTTTCTTTTAAATTTAATCCAGAACTGAAAGATTGCACATTGAATTTAGTTTTCGTATTTTTCTTTCTTTTTCTCTTTAAGAGGGAGACATTTTGGTTATAGCATGGCTTTCTTTCTTTCTTTTTAAAAAAATTTTTTTTTTTTTAGTAATCTCTACACCCAACGTGGGGCTCGAACTCACAGCCCTGAGATCAAGAGTTGTACGCTCCTCTAAGCTCGCCAGGCACCCCAGATGGCATATTTTTTTAGTCTCTTAATCTGGACTAATTCCCATGCCTTTTTGTGTCTGTTACACCATTGCTGTTCTTGAAGAGTCCAGACCTGTTGATCCGCAGCATCCCACAATCTGATTAGAGTCACATTAACTGCTTTCGCCCAAGAATATGATGTACATGATGTGTCCTTCCTGTTGGATCACAGTAAGAAGTTCACGATGTCAGTTCGAGTTGTTATTGGTGAAGAAGTTGATCACAGTTAAGATAGGGCTGCTAGATTTTTCCACTGTAAAGGTGCTTGTCCCCATTTGTAATTAATAATAATCTAAGGAGGGAAACTGAGACTATGCTTGTTCACCAACATATTTCCACATAGTTATTACATTGGTGATTTCAAAGTGATGATTTTTCTAATTCTTTCATTCCATCTTTATTTTTATTTTTCATTCCATTTATTAGCCGACTTTTTTTTTGTAAAAGAACTGTCCCTTATTTGCAGTATCACTCTAGATTCAGAGAGAATCCCAAGTTTTAATGTTTAAAGCACATGACTCATGTGCTTTTGGATCTATTGCATAATACAAACTGCAGTTGCAAACAGTGGTCGCTAAGGTTGCTCAGCTCTTCTGGGTCTGAAAAAATGAGGCAGGATATTAGCACCTTTGGGGGATTGTTTTTCTTGGCATTTGACCTGTTCCCAGCAGACGTGGGATATGTTAATTTTTGAGACATCTTTCTCGCCTACTGGACATATTCTCAGAATTCTAATTTGTTGAAAGGTACTGTAGTCTTTTATTCTTTATAAATGTATAAACTCTGTATAACAGAATTTCCCTGGGTACTTTGCGGTGATTTTTTTCTGTTCAATTACCTGTTAACTTTGGCTTCACTGCGCTTGTGAGGAATCACGTCTTTCCTTGGTCTGCAGGACTTCTGCGTCTCCTCAGAGCTCAAAACAGGCAGGGGCAGTCCCATGAGGGTGTAAGGCATTAGGCAAGTTACTTCTCCATTGAGATTTTTCTTGTCTATGAAGCGAGGCGGTTTATACTCAGCTCCTGGAGCTCTTGAGGGGATTAAAGGAGTCCTGTAGTGTCTGGCACATAGCAGTTTCAGGTAAGTGTCCCATGCTCTTGCCCTCTGAATTCCATCTCTCTCACTCGACTGAAGAAATTGTTCCTTGAAGCCTCGAGTGACTTCTTCATCTACTAAATCCAGTGGCCATTTCTCTGACATCTTGCTTGATCTCCATTGTTCATTTGTAGACTCTTCTGCCATCTTCTTTCTGTTACACTGCATCCAGACTCCTTATCCTTGCCACGCGTCCCTCTGCCTGCCTTTCCCTGTCCTTATTTTGTGCCCCTCTCTCCTGTGCTCAGCATCCTCCACCACTCTGGTCTCTGCTTGAACATACCAGGCTCATTCCCACCTCCTCTTTCCTCCGCCTCACTTGCTTTCTTCCCAGGATCCTCTCATGGTTGGCTTCTTGCTCTATAAGCCTTAGCTCAAATGTCACCTTCAGAGAGGTTTCCCCGGGCTTCCTTTTCTAGCTTAGTGTCCACCCGGTTACTCTGTCCTGACACCTGTTTTTTTGTGTTTTGTTTTTTTTAATTAAAGTTTTATTCTCATGAAAAAGTAAGATTCTATAATGACAGAGGTTATTACATTAAGCCCCCTCTGATATAGGGCAAATTAACCTTTTGGAAGTTGAAGGGCCTCCATCCAGTGGTGACAACTGCCTTTATTTCTTCCCTTTCACAGCACTTGTCTGAAATCCTCGTTCTCATTGACTTGTTACTGTCCTTCTCCCCTTCTATAACAAGAACTCTATGAGCGTGGGGACTGTGTCTTGTTGACTGCCGAGCCCTCAGTGCCTGAAACTGTGCTTGGCACAGAGGAGGCCTGGAAACAGTGCCTGTGGAATGATTGTGTAAAATGGGAGAGGAATCTTTCTGACAAAGAAGTGGCAAAGAAGCAGATGGTAACTGACGGCAAGCTTTTGGGTGTGCTCTAGGTACTCTTTGTGACCACCCTAAGAGGGAGTGCTGTTTTTTTCATCTATTCCAGATTTAGGAACTGGGGGTACAAGAGAGGTGAGGGAAGTCACTCCAGAGCACACAGCCATGTGACCAAGGGACTTTATTGTCTCGGGACGCCATTAGAAATGAAATTTTCCATTGTGATTAAGTGTGATTCTTCACAGGCAAAAGCTCAGATGACCTTTTTGGGACTTCTCTTTACCATCATTAAGTATTTCTAGGATAAAGAATTGCCAGCTGTCTTACTGGGTCTGTGCCCACTAAAAAATAAACATCATCAGAATTAATGTGAGCAGAGAGGCTGCTTTATTGAAATACCAGGGTTGATGTTTGTTTTTTATTAGCTATGTGTCACAAATAAATTATTCATGCTTTGTATAAAACAGATACATATATATTTTTTAACATTTTTAAAATTTAAATTCAGTTAATTAACATGTAGTGTATTATTGGTTTCAGAGGTACAGATCTGTGATTCATCAGTCTTAGACAACACCCAGTGCTCATTACATCACATGCCCTCCTTAATGTCTATCACCCAATTACTCTATCCCTCCACCCCTCTCCCCTCCAGCAACCCTCAGTTTGTATCCTATGGTTAAGAAGAGTCTCATGCTTTGTCTCCTTCTCAGGTTTTGTCTTTATTTTTTTCCTCTCTTCCTCTCTGTTGTCTTTCTCTGCTTGATTTATGTTACTTAGCATGTTCTCCGGTTCTATCCCTGTCAGTGCAAATGGTAGGTATTCATCCTTTCTGATGGCTGCATAATATTCCATTGTATATGTATACCACACCTTCCTTATCCATTCATCTGTCGATGGACATCTGGGCTCTTTCCACAGTTTGGCTATTGTGGACATTGCTGCTATAAACATTGGGGTGCAGGTGCCCCTTCGGATCACTACATTTGTCAGATACTATATTTTTTTTAATTTTTTATTGTTATGTTAATTACCATACATTACATCATTAGTTCTTGATGTAGTGTTCCATGATTCATTGTTTGTGTATAACACCCAGTGCTCCATGCAGAACGTGCCCTCTTTAATACCCATCACCAGGCTAACCCATCCCCCCACCCCCTCCCCTCTAGAACCCTCAGTTTGTTTTTCAGAGTCCATTGTCTCTCATGGTTGGTCTCAGATACTATATTTTTAAGAGACTTGTAAGAAGTTGGTCTTTAGCTCCCTTAGAGAAGCCTAATAAGCCATGGATGACCAGGGACCCTTGTCTGAAAACAGTAATGCAAAGAGTTTACATTGAATTTGGTGAGCTATTTTGGAAGGTTGTGTATAGAAAATGTTTTTGTTTAGATATCTCTCTCCTTTTTTTGGCATTTAACTTAGGTTGTACTTGGCATTTGCACCTGGAATCTTACTTCATTTATTTTCAGATATTGATTGAGAACTTGTGCCAGGTATTGTTTTAGGCCCTGGGCGACAGTCATGAATAAGAGAAACATGGGCCTGTTCTCACAGAACTGACATTTAGTTGGCAAAGTGGGCGTCGCTGGGTCTGAGGGTCCCCTTAGGGCGGGGTGGTCAGCTCGAGGTACAGCCGCCGCATCATCAGACGGGCCTCTTGTGCAGGGCGTGACACCCAGGCAGCCTTAGCAGGAGTGGCAGGTGTTGGACCATTTCTAATACTTGTGTTTTTTTCTCCTAGGGAGAAATTGGAAGAAAAAGCCAAATTATATGAAAAAATGACTAAAGGAGACTTTATAGGTAAATACAATAATTTATTTATTCTTCTCTATTTTCTGTAACTTATACAGCCCTATAGTATTTTGTTATTTGTTATGATAACTGTAAGAACAGGGAGGAAATTTAAGGAATAACACAGATTACCTTCTCTGCCGGCACGGAGACAAGAAAATCCGCAGTAATTGTTGATTGCCTAGTGTGTGCCAGGCTGTGTTAGGTGCTCTAAGGGAACAAACAAGGGCAGTATAAGCCAAATTCTCTGCCTCTGCCCTCAAGGGGGTCGTCATCAATGGAGGCCAATGACGCAAAACAAAGCAAAGGTAGGAAATGAGGTCTAAATAGACTATCATTATAAACTCTTGTAGCTATGTTAAAAAAGACTGGGAGGAGTTATGGGTATTTCAGTGTGTTGGAGTTATGTTTCCTTTTCCTTATTTTCTATTTTTTCTGTGATGTGCCTGTAATTCCTTCTAAAATAATAAAAAGATCCCCCTTTCCTCATACCCTCCAGAAAAATAAAACCCAGCCTACAGTTAGATAGCAGAAGAGATTTTACAAGGCAGTGTGTATTTCATTGCCAAAAGGCCTGTAGGGAAGGCTTTAGGGAGAAGGTAGGCTCTGATAGGGTCTTAAAGGCTTTGGATAGCTGGAGGAAGGGATTCTGCAGGGGGAGAGTGGTGAGAGCAGACCCACAGAGGGAGGAGAGGGCCAGTGTTGGCAGGACAGACTAGTGTGGCTGGGCCTGATGGGCTGGGAAAGGGGGCAGCGGGGCAGCAGTAGAGAGGCAGGGCTGGAACCCTGGTCATTGGCTACCCAGACAGCCAAACTCCCTCTTCCCAGATGGCAGAGGCATGTTCCCTGCATGGCAGGGAGCCCCGTGGGGGAGAGTTAGGCACTCTCAAAGCTAGGGGACATGGGGAGAGGCCGTGTCTTCTTCCTGAAGAAGCAGCAGGGTGTCCTTTAACTGGGAGGCCTCACTATTCTGTGGTCTTATAACTCTGCTCTGGGAATACACATCTCTTTCTCATGTGAGTTATTTTGTGGCTTTAAAAAAAAATTAAAGTCTTTTACTTTTGATGCAAACTTGACTTGTTATTGTTAATCAAGAAATCAGGTCCAAAGGCCTGTGGATGTGGGGATTTGGTTCTGTCCAAAACAGCAGGCCCTGATGGGCATAGTGGCCCTGCGTGTTTGGGCAAGTTGAGTTTTGGAGCCTCAGTTATTCTCCCCTCTACACCGGGGCCTAACACCAGTACTGGCGACATGGAGCCTAGTATCTGCTCCATACAGCTCGATACTGTCCTCAGAGAAAAACTGAAGTGACTGTCTAAAATCCAGTATAGTGAAACTTCACATAAACCTTATTTTGAGTACATCACCTATCTTGGGTTAAATTAAAGTCATGGATTGTTATTTAACTTTCAGTGTATGTTTTAGCTCAGGCAGATCACAAGCCACATGTCTTTGTGTGCCCTGCAGATCCTTGCACTATGCCTTGCTTGCAAGTGGTGTTCATTGGGTTGAAAAGAATTCAGATGACTTCTTTTACCCTATACAGTGATCCTTAAAACCCCATACCATGGCAGTATAATTAGGGCTAAGTAATGTCGCCCCTTGATTGGGGAGGAATATGTAGCAACAAAGGTCTATTGCTCTGGTCTGGCAACATAAGCATTGCAGTTCTGCTTCGGCATTTTGTCATTGGGTGGATGAGTCTCTTGAAATCAAATGGTTTGATCTTAAAATTGCATTCCGAGACCGTATTGCTCTCTCATTCTGTTGACGAGACAACAGAAGACTTTAAGCACTTTTAAGACTTTTTTGTGTGGTATGTGTTTCTGATGGCCTATTGGCAGCTTCCCTGTCAGGTCCATGGTGGCTCTGTGTCTTTGAAGTGTCCAGGGGGTGCTGGGGGTGGTGGATGCATCGACTAGTGAACTGTCCAGGGCCAGTGTAGCTGCCCAGCCGTGAATGTGACTGCTTCATATCAATTCCATCTGTGGTTTACTTCTTTGAAAAGAATGTCAAAAATCTGAAAATTGATTTTTCTCTTAGATGAAGAAGTGGAGGATATGTACCTTGTGGATTTCACGCAGAAGATCATAGACAAACACAAAGAAATGGAGGTGTTTGGTGCCAATAGAGATTCCAGAAAGGCAGCAGAAAGAGATGATGATGAAGAAAATCTTTCTGAAAAAGATATACCTCCTCCGCAGGACCCCAGTGAAGAATGGTTGGTGATAATGACACAGTTTGGTCATTTTAACATTCTCAGACTTGTGTTTACTTTTTTTTTTTTTAAAGTAATCTCTATGCCCAACATGGGGCTCAAACCTAATGACCCCAAGATCAAGAATCCCTTGTTCTCTTGACTCAGCCAGCCAGGTGCCCCAACTTGTATTTATTTTCCAAAAGTGTATTTGTTTGCGTGTTATCAAACCATTTCTCCTTATTCTTCCTCAGTTTTCTTTCTTTGAAGATTGGATTTACAGATGTAGAAACAGTAACTCCAAAGAAGAAGTAATTACAAGACTGAGCCAAGTGCAAAAGGCATTAATACACCGTTTTCACTGGCATGGAAGAGTTGTTTAGACAGAAGCATGTTCCTCTGTTACCCAGGCTGCTGCCCATGTCATTATTCAGACAGGGAGAGTCACTGTCTAGCTGTTGGCAATGTTCATTTCCATAGAAAAGAGGCAGGCGGAGCCGGTCCCAGTAAACCTTACTCTGGCTGGGACCTTTTCCAGCAGTGTTGGAGAGGCATTGCGGATGTTGGACCTGCATAGCACTGGCTCCATCTTTCACTGGCAATATGACCTTGATCAAGTTCCATCCTTGCTGAGGCTATTTCCTCACCTGTAAAACAGGTGATTGTTTTACCTTAAACTCCCTTGGAAATCAGAGTATTCTAGGCTACCCAAGAAACTGCTGTCTGTGGAGTCTAAGCAGACCTTTGGTAAACTTTTATTGAAATTGTCCTGAATTTTATCTACGTGTAGGTGAATGATGGGGAAGCCAAACTTGTTTTTTCTTTATGAGACCAGTACGTCAATAAGTAAAGAGACCAGAATGAAAATTCCCTTCTGATGATTTTCTCTACTTAACACTTTAAGACTGGGAATAATCCTGCCTGCCCACCCTCCTGCCTGTGCATCTTCCCTTCCAGGCTCAGATAGCCTCATTATTGTGGTCTTTGTTAGGAACTGCTTAAGATGTTTTGTAGCTCTTGACCTTCTGTCAGCTATTGGCCCTGCTGGCAGGAGTCGGTGATGAGCACGAGAGAGCAGTGCCAGCTACTGAGGATCACAGGGACCCCACATCTTCGTACTACTGAGGGTGTTCCCAGTGGTCCAGAAACAACATTCCCATTGGGATAGAACAGGTGTTTGCTTAGCTGCTTTCTACAAATTTATCTTTGGGCCAAGTTTTCTGGCTGCACACTTGGTACAAGCAATCCAAAGGAAAGCACATACAACGCAGTCTCTACCATTGATGCTTTTCCTCATCCTTTTAGTGTGAGTGATTTCTCCCTCACCCGGACTCTGGTAGCACTTAGATACGCTTCCAGCTCCTTTGGGGAGGAGGGGGGGGTCTTACCTTTTCTTTAGTATTGACACACAACTGGCCTCATTACCAGAAAAAGATTTGAGACAAACTTTGGGTCCTTTTTATATCCTCCCTGCTGTTGTTAGGAAGTGTTTCGTGGGCACATGCCTTAACTTCCCCCTGGAGCTCGTTGAAGATGACATGACTCTGAGTCCTCCTTTATTATTCTTGTACCTCAAGTAATTGTTTCCCTGGGGCTTGCTCAGTGATTGCTGATTACACAGAGCACTTGCTGACTACTGTCTTGCCACTTCTGTTTTGATGGGATCTGTACATTTTAGAGACCTTCTTCAGAAACAGAATAGCCTATGATTGCTTTTCATAGCAGAAATCTCATCTCCTTTGAAAGGTTTAATGTCTTTTTTTTTCCTTACTAATGCCTGTATGATTACAAGCAATTTGTCAGTGATTTGAAGAGTTTGGAGGGCAATTGAAGGTGTCACATGCCACCATATGGTGAAGGAAGACGCACTGCAAGCAGTTCTAACACTTTTTTTGTTTTTAAATTAAGCTCCAGAATTGTAACTACTTGTAAAATCCTTTTGGTAGTTAAGTTCCAGGTGGTGGAAAATCTTTCCGCAAAAATACTGTAAATAATTACTCAGACCATCTGGCTAGATGATTTTCTTTTTCTATTCATTAGAAAAAGGGTGGGGCGGAGGAGAAAGAAACTGCTTTCTGCAGTTGGAGGTTTTATTTCTTGTGGTAAGTAGCGTTAGGACTATAGTAATAGATTCTCAAACATTCCGTTTTCAAGTCATGGGCTAACAATTGGAATCAGCGTGTGTAAGAGGAAAGAAACTGCTAACAAAAGCAAAGCCACATATGTGAGACTCTGACCTTGAGCTGCACTAGCGGTACTGACCCCTTTCTGTGTTTTTAGCACCCTGCTAAAGCCTGGGAAATTCCTTGCCCATAATTAAACAATAAAAAAATCTGTTGCATCATAATGCAATTGAAATGTTTTCCATGAAAATCTGTCCATACTTCCTGTTGTGGGAAGTTGGGCTTTCATTTTGCCTTGCCATCTGCCTGGTTCCCTTGGCTGTCTAGTTCGGGCAAAGATGAGGAAAGAGGAACTAAGAGTAAAAGATAATAGGCTGGCCCACTGCCAAGATGCTTTTGCAGTACAAAATGTGTGTTGCTTGGCTTCCTCCTAATTAGTGGGTCCTCAAAATATCATGACTTGAGAAATTTCTAATTGGAAAGAACTGTACCAATTAGAAGAAATAAAAGAATAAAAAGTCAGATTTGGGGAAGACAGAAAATGAACAAGTTGAGAATGGTACAGAGCTCAGTTATTCTGATGCTGATAAAATATGTGGAATTGTCTAAACCAGATTGAAGTCAGTTCTGAGATGTTGCAGCAAGGGTCTGTATGGGGTATTTATTTTTGACATCAGAGACATACATGATCAATCATTTTCTGCAGTTTCTAAACCTAATGTTTAATAAAATGCATAATGAGCTTATTGTGTGTCAACTTTAAAGTTTAAAAATCATGTTCTTATCAGTGGTAATGGTCTCTCAGGTGGAGGGTTTTTCTTGGTAGTGAGGCTTACATTAATTTTTTTATTGTGCACCAACTCTCTAACTTAGGGAACCATATGTCATGTACAAAGCCGCCTTCACATGTTTTCACTTTTATTTCAGGGTGGATTATGTGGATTCTTTAGGGCGATCTCGGCGCTGTATGAAAAAGGATTTGCCAGATTTGCTGGAGATGGATAAAAATCTTCAAGGGAGGCTGTAAGTGTGTGATATGCAAAGCTTTGCCCAGGTTTGAAATGCAGACACGGATTGTTTTGTGAGTGAGGCTGCTTTTAGTTCATTATCTTTGATGGTCCAGTAAGGAGGTTTTTTCTTAACATACAAAAATATTTGCTGAAGTACTCTTTTGTGGCTAGCATACACACATAATACACACTCAAGGAACAACCTGAATAGTTGATCATCCATACTGTGTAGCTACTAAAAGGGATGGATGAGTTGGAGCTGTATCTGTTTATTTGGAAGGGTGTTTCATGTCAGTCAAAAATATAGAATGAACCCAATCCAAGAAACAAACTTCTGTGGAGAAAGGTGTTTAGGAATGTATACTTGGTTATCCCATAGCAAGTGGGAGCAGAGAGGTAGTTAGCTTTTTAACTTTTTCTTTATACATTTTTGCATTTTAAAGTAAGGGCCTTATAGCTGGTTTATTTTCTACAGGGCCTAAGACACATCGAAGAGATAACTTGTTCCTGTGCTCCAGGGAATAAAATTCCCCTCACCAAGGGCAGTTTTTATGAGGAAAATGGTGGGAGAAGGTCCACCTTGTCCCAAGTCCTTTAGGTTCAGATAGGCCTGGGCTCAGCACAAGGAAGGAAATGCAAAAGCCCTGAGCTATCTGAGAGAGGCCGGGGGGGGCGCTACCCGGACTGCAGCATGATGCATCTTCCTCGGCCCTGTGCAGGTGACCATGCATAGGAGGCTCTCCTTCCTCCTCCCCTTTAGCCCAGAACCAGGGTGGGAAGGAAAGGGATTTGTCTCAAGTGCTGAGGCAGGATTCTGGTGTGCTGTTGTAACAAGTCGGCTGCTTGATTAAAGAAGGTAAAGACCATTTTTGCAATTTCCCAGGGGTATTGGGTCAGAAACTTCTGTAAGGAACTGTCTTCTTTATCAATGAGAGTTGCTTGTCCATGATCCAGCTTACTGAACTGAGGCATTGCTGTCTCACGGCTCTTATCTAGAGTTTTGCTCTGTTCCCTTACTAGTTTCGTTAGTCCTGCCAATGAGAAAACCTTATTATCCGAAGATATGAGAAAAGAACTTCAGCGCCAGCAATGGGAGGAAGAAGAAAGAGAGGCCTTGAAAAGGCCAATGGGGCCCATACATTATGAAGACATTCGTGAAAATGGTATGGTCATCTTGCAGCATTTTAAATCTTTTTTTTTTTAATCTTGAACTAATGGCAAGCATAAAGGGAAATATTCATAAAGCAGCAGCTTTTATGTAGAAATAAAAGATTCTGATTTTGAAATTGAAAATATCCCCTTTGTTCACTTCATAGCCTAAAGAATACTCATATTGGGAATACCATTCCTACAGAGGGTCTATTAATCACAAGGAGATTTTTTTGGCTTAGCTGCTTTTTTTTTTTTTTTTTTAAACTTGCCAAATATCACTGCGTTTCTTTTAGCTTTGGTAGGAAAGTTAGCCTGAGTCTAATTCATTAATCAGGAAACTGTAATCTTTTGAATAATTTGATTCATTTCAGAGGCTCGGCAACTTGGTGTTGGATATTTTGCTTTTGCTCGAGATAAAGAGTTGAGAAATAAGCAGATGAAAACGTTAGAGATGCTGCGTGAACAGGTAAAAATTAAATTCAGAATTGATGTTAAGAAGTATTTGAGCAGTTGGTTTCTTGTTGGACCATATGACAAAAACAATCTACTGGGGCTCCTGGGTGGCTCAGCTGTTAAGCATCTCCCTTCGGCTCAGGTCATGATCCCAGGGTTCTGGGATCAGGCCCTGCATCCGGCTCCTTGCTACACAGGAAGCCTGCTTCTCCCTCTCCCACTCCCCCTGCTTGTGTTCCCTCTCTCGCTGTGTCTCTCTGTGTCAAATAGATAAAATCTTAAAAAAAAAAAAAAACCAATCTATTATTTATTTAATTAAATCAGTTAATTTTTGAGCGAGAGAGAAAGAGAATGAGAACAAGTTGGGGGAGGGCCATAGGGAGAGGGAGAAGCAGACTGTCGGTTGAACAGGGAGCCTGATGTGGGGCTCCATCCCAGGACCCAGAGATCATGATCTGAGCCAAAGGCAGATGTGTAACTGACTGAGCCACCCAGGCACCCCACAGTCTATTTTTTAAATTGGTACTCAGAATGGCTTTTTTTTTTTTAAAGAAATGTTATTATTTAGGGACGCCTGGGTCTCTGCCTCTGCCTGCCGCTCCTCCTGCTTGTGCTCTGTATCTCTCTCTCTGACAAATAAATTAAATCTTAAAAAAAAAAAGAAATGTTATATTTATTTAATAGTTAATCAGAACAGTGATGCACAAAAGTGCATCAAATAAACTTTCAATTTTATTAAAGATTGATATTTCTGATATTTAATAAATAATGTTATAGCCTTAAACCAGATATTTTATTATTACTTTTTAATTGAAGTGAAATTGACACATAACATTATATTAGTTTCAGGTGTACAACATAACTATTCAATATTTGTGTCTATTGGGAAATGATCGCCACATTTAAGTCTAGTTAACATCCATCACCACATAGTTACAAAATTTCTTTTCTTGTGATGAGAACTTGTAAGGTCCACTCTCTTAGCAACTTTCAAATATGTGTTACAGTATTAACTGTGGTTGCCATGCACTACATTACATCCCCATGACTTGTTTATTTTATAACTGGAAGTTTAAGTACCTTTTGATTCCCTTCCCTCATCCCCTCCCCCCCCCACACTTCTGTCAACCACCAATCTGTTCTCTGTATCTACAAGCTTGTATTTTGGGATTTTTGGGGGGGTGGAGGTTAGAGTCCACATATAAGTGAGATCATACTGTATTTGTCTTTTCCTGTCTAACTTAGCTCACTTAGCATAACGCTTTCAAGGTCCATCTGTGTTGTTCAAATGGCAAAATTTCCTTCTTTTTTATAGCTGAATGATATTCTATTCCACATATATATAAACACACACACACACGCATGGACACACACGCCTTTATTCATCCATTGGTGGACACTTAGATTGTTTCCATATCTTGGCTATAATTCTACAGTGAACATGGGGGTGCAGATATCTTTTAAGTTAGTGTTTTTTCATTTTCTTCAAATAAATATGCAGAAGTGGAATTGCTGGATCATATGGTAACTCTATTTTTAATTTTTTGAGGAACCTCCATACTGTTTTCTATTGTGACTGCACCAGTTTGCATTCCCACCAACAGTGCACAAGAGTTCCCTTTTTTCTACATCCTTGTCAATACTTTTTTCTGTCTGTTTGATAATAGTCATTCTAACAGGTGTGAGGTGATATCTCACTGTGGTTTTGATTTGCATTCCCTTGATGATTAATGATGTTTGGCATGTGTTTATAGGTCTTTTGGCCATCTGTATATATTCTTTGGAAAGATGTCTATTCAGGTTATCTGCTGGGGGGTTTTTGGTTTTTGGTTTTTTTTGTTTCTGTTTTTTTCTCATCTGCCTGTTTTTTAATTAGATTGGTTTTTGTGGGTTTTTTCTTTCTTTCTTCTTTTTTGTACTGCATTGTATGAGTTCTCTGTATATTTTGGACATTAATCCCTTACCAGATAATATGATTTGCAGATATTTTCTCCCATTCAGTAAGTTGTCTTTTCATTTTGTCGGTGGTTTCCTTTGCTGTGCAGAAACTTTTGAGATGTAATCCCATGTGTTAATTTTTGCTTTTGTTGCCTTTGCTTTTGGTGTCACATCCAAAAAATCATGGCCAAGACTGATGTTGAGGCGCTCACTGCCTGTGTTTTCTTCAAGAAGTTGTATAGTTTCAGGTCTTACGTTCCAAATCTTTAGTCCATTTTGAGTTAATTTTTGTGTATGGCGTAAGATAGTGGTCCAGTTTCATTCTTTTGCATGTGGCTGTCCTGTTTTCCCAACCATTTATTAAAGAGATTGTCCTTCTCCCATTATATATTATTGGCTCTTTTGTCATGAATTAATTGACCATATATGGTTGGGTTTATTTCTGGGCTCCCTTTTCTGTTCCACTGATCTCTGTGTCTGTTTTTTATGACAATACCATACTGTTTCAATTATTATAGCTTTGTACTATAGTTCAAAATCAGGGATCCTGATGCTTCCAGTTTTCTTCTTCTTTCTCAAGAATGCTTTGGCTTTTCAAGATCTTTTGTGGTTCCATATAAATTTTAGGGTTGTTCTATTATTATGAAAAGTATTTGTTGCAATTTTGATAGAGATTGCATTGAATCTTTAGATTGCTTTGGGTTATATGGACATTTTATCAATATTAATTCTGCCAATCTATGAGCATGCTGTATTTTTCCATTTCGTTGTGTCTTCAGTTTCTTTCATAATTGCCTTATAGTTTCTCTTGGTTAAATTTATTCCTAGGCATTTTATTCTTTTGGGTGTAATAGGAATGTTTTCTTAATTTCTCTTTCTGATAGTTTATTGGCCTATAGAAGTACAACAGGTTTGTGTATGCCGATTTTGTACCCCATACTTTTTTTTTTTTTTAAGATTTTATTTATTTGAGAGAGAGAAGACAAGCAGGCTGAGGAGCAGAGGGAGAGGGAGAAGCAGACTCCCCACTGAGCAGGGAGCCCAACATGGGGCTAGATCCCAGGACCCTGAGATCATGACCTGAGCTGAAGGCAGATACCCAACCACCTGAGCCACCGAGGTGTCCCTGTACCCTGCAACTTTACTGAAGCCATTTATTCTAACAGTTTTTGGGCGGCATCTTTAGGGTTTTCTATATATAATATCATGTCTTCTGCAAATAGTGACAGTTTTATCACTGTTATTTATCAGTATCAGAGTGCTATTATAGTTTCACGAAGGTAATTGCTGTTCTATTTTGGTGTTGCAGACTTTAAAATTATAGCTGCTCAGAAGTAACTTATGTAACTTTGATGTTTTAAATTTGGTTTTAAATATGGTACTTTTGGAGTGGCCTGGGTAAGAAAATAGAGAGTTATTTAAGGGATTTATTTAAGGGATTAAGGAGTAGAACAGAATTGGTTGGTTTCCTTGAATGTGAAGATTCCAGGATGCTCTGTGAACACTCGCTAAACTTAGAAAACACACCAGAGGGCTTGTATAAGAGGACCTCATAGGTCTGTGTTTTGAAGATCTCAAGGCTAGCTTCTTAGAGGTGACATGAAAAACAATTAGCCTCTTTTTAAAATAAAATAAATTATTTCATCCCTTTAAACAGAAATATTGTGAATTTGGCTTACAGTAAATAATGTTCTAATTTTCTTTTGTATTCAGACAACAGATCAGAGAACAAAACGAGAGAATATAAAGGAAAAGCGAAAGGCTATGTTAGAAGCAAGACTTGCTAAACTCCGACAAAAAAAGATGAAAAAGTCAAAAGAAGATGGAGCAGAGGAAGAAAATAGAGGTATATAATGCACATGTATCTGACCTTCAAAAGGAAAAATTTTGGTTCCATTGATGTCTCAACAAGTAGGACTGGCAATATGGAAATGAGCCATTTTGTTTTATTCTCTAAGCAAGCAGAGTACCTCTGAGGTACTGCCAGGAACAGGTTTTTATAACCAGAGTGGTGCAGGGTGACACTCCAAAGAATCTTTTTCTATAGACAAAAATACTAACAAACAGGACATTGTGTTACTTCATAGAACTGCGTGGTTTTTTTAGTAACAGACTTAACTGAGAGAAGAGATGTTTTAAGATAAAGTTGAGTTGTGCACACACATTTTGGACCGAATTTCTTTTGCTATGGCTATGTGTTTTTTGGTTATTATACATTATTTTAAAGAAGAAATATATTCACAAAATCAGATAAAAGAAAGAATTTACAAATATGAGTCTGGATGGCTCATGAAAGGTCACAGTGTGTGGAAACACTGTTACATATGTTCTTGCTGGCTTGCTGCCTGGGTATGAGTTACCCTAGTGTGGGCTAAGCTGTCCTGACTGAGACCCCTGCATGGACTGGCTCACACAAGATGGAAGTCTGTTTTCTGTTTTAACGCTTTAGAGGTGGTGGGCTTCCAGGCAGGTAGTGGCTCTCCTCCAGATGGTCACCCAGTCCCAGCTTCTTCCTGTCTTCCTGCTTCTGCCATCCCTAGAGTGTTGCTCTACCTGCAGGGCGGAGGCTTGTTTCCTAGCACCTGTTCACGGCCCAGCCCCAGGGAAGGGGAAGGAGGGGAGAGGAACCAGCTTCTTTAGGAATGTGAATCGAAGGCACACACAACCCATGCATTTACATCCCACTGGCCCAAATGCAGCTGCAGGGGGCTGGGGAATGGCCCGTCTAGTGAGGTGGCCACACCTGCAGCTGAAACTGGGGGCGTTGTGTTCCCAGGAGGAAGAAGGGGGTGTGGGTGTCAGGGGCATGTACCAGCCTCTCTAGCCCTCACAGGAGCCTGTGCCAAGCCACTGGCCATCTTCTGATCTGAACACAGCTTCAGCTGAGCTCTGAAAGGAGACCAGAAACACTGAGGAATTGGGAAGTCACCCGTGCCATTTTGTATGATGCTAGGTCCCTGAAACATGTTAAGCTCTGCATCCTGTTTCTCTGTTTTTGCTCTACTCCTCAACATCTGTCATTTCCACAGCATGTGAAGTGCCACCGCAGTGGTTTTTTAAAAAACCCATTTGTTTAAAAATCTGGCCAAAGGTGAATAGCCTGCGGCCTGTTGACATGCGCCAGCTCTTCATCACCCTATGTCCCCTTGCTTTGTCTGAGACTCCTACTTTAGTTGAGTAATTGGGGATTTCTGGCCCTTCAGTTGTTGGTCTGGGGAAGCGGGGTGCCATAGTGGGAAACACAGACTTTGAAATGCATCCAACCTGGGTTTGGATCCTGGCTCTGTCTCTTTCTCCTTGTGTAGCATTTCTGAGCTTAATTTTCCTCATTTATAAAATAGAAAAACTAATACTGACTTTGTTAGGGTTATTACAAGAATTACACGAACTGTTGTGTACAAGGTACTGAGTCCACTGCCTGGGCCCTGATAGGTGCTCATTAAATACTAGTTATTACTTTTACTCTCAAGATTAGCGTGTTCTGTTTATTGATTATTTTTTAAATAGCTTTAAGCTTTACTATAATAATGTCTTATTCCCTTGCAAAAAATAGATGTTATTGGACCTTTGCCACCAGAACCAGAGGCTGTGCCAACTCCACGTACTGCTGCCCAGAGTAGCAAAGTGGAAGTCATTGTTCAGGAGAGGAAGGATACCAGGCCCGGAGTGCCCCATGTCCGAGAGTGGGACAGAGGAAAAGGTAAGGGGGCATGGGCTTCAAGGTATAAATCCTTTCCAGTGATGCACAGGAGATTTTTCTGGTTCATCTCAGTATGATTCTCATGAGTCTTCGTGGTCCCTTGAGGTCTAAGGAATTCTCCAGATCTTTCACCTTGGTTCTTCTTAGTACCCAGACACTAGCTGTTTGTAAAACAGGGGTACTAGAAAGTGTGATCATAAAAGACCAGGGTCTACAATACATCATTTCAAAAGGACAATTTTTTAGAAGCATTGGGTGAAGTTTTGTAAATTCGTGCTGCCCTCATGTGGCTTTACAGCTTTGGAATGCCCTTTCTCAGGAGCCACTTTTAAAAATCATACAAGGTTTGGTATTTTAACGTCCTCTGTGTTCTTTAGCGTCTCCTTTACGTTCAGTTGAAAATAGTCTGCGTCTGCACACCGTGATGCCCACAGCAGCTTCTTGTTGGAAGAGACTATGATTTATGTCTCTTCAATGAGATCGTTAGAATAGTACATTAGCTCATGCTGTTTGAGCTGATGAGATCCAAGAGTCAGGTAAAAGATAGGCAAATAGGCGAGTGCCTTAGGTTAGCAGTAGAGCTGAAATACCAAATGAGATTTGGACAGGTGTCTTTTTGTGTCTTCTAAAACTCAGTAAAGGCCAAAATTTGTGTTTTGTTGTAAAGTACCTACATCAATCATGTCAAGCAAATGATCTGAGGGTCTGATTTTTCTAGATTTCTCTCTCAATTATAATTTTAGTGCCTTTTTGGCAATACTTCCAGAACCTACCAGCCTTCCCCACAGAGCCTTCCTTGAATTTTTCCCCATCTGGAAGTAGGCACTCCCTTTTCCTTATATTTTTGTAGGCATTACATAGACCTTATATTATGTTATTGCTGTCCTTGTTCTCCAGAGAATGGGAGTTGGCTTTTAATATATAATAATTGAGAAGTAATAATGGTAAAAATTCAGCTGATTCAGTAATCAGTTCTAATACTCTTTCTTATTTTTTACTAGAATTTTCCTTTGGGTACTGGTCGAAGAGGCAGTCAGATCTCCGGGCCGAGAGAGATCCTGAGTTTGCTCCACCATCAGATTACTTTGTGGGTCAAAAAAGAACTGGTACCTTTGGTAGCCAGACATGGAACAGACCTGCACCTACACAGAGTGACTCAGGACAGCGCTCTGGACAGAGCCATGAGCCCAGCTCTTCACATGCATCATCCACTCCTGCCCCCAGCAGGCCACCACAAGCCGCCACAGTCACTTTTGAAACTCTGGATGATATGATATCATATTATAAACAAGTGACATGAACTTCAAAACCATTCTCACTTGGGTCTATACTGTGATGGTGCCTTTTTCTCCCAAATTAGGGAAAATATAACTTAGAGACGGAATATTATCTTTCTCCTCCTGTCCTTCCCCTAGAAGATACAGACTTCAGATTGGATTTGTCAGCAAGGAAGAAAGTGAATGGTACTTTGGGAATTCTGTGGCCACTTGGCTGTTCATTTCTTTCTGATTGATATGGTGACCTGTCCGTCTGGATTTATGTGTAAGCTGTCATAATATGACTCTGAGGAGTTTGTAATCCTGTTTCCTACCCGCTCCCTTGGCTTATTTGATTTAAGGGTTCCATTCCTTTCCTTTTGCAAATACTAGCATGCAGTTCTCTTTGTTCCAAGGATTCAGCTTCCATATCAGTTGATGGAGCATCTGTCAGGAGGCATGTTTGCCTGTCAAAGTGGCAAATGAGGGGACACTGTGCGGGGCAGGTGGTTTAGTCTCCAAAGGGACCCTGAAGCTGGTGGACTATTAAGCAATAACATTTGAAATGATAAGGAAGACCAGGGAAGAGAACCTCATAATCCAGAAAGGTAGAAGGTGAAGTCACTTTTATTGTCAGCACACATGCCTGATGGGCATTCATTGTGTGTGGAGTGCCTGGGGCCCATGTGGAAGCTGTTCCGCCAAGTCAGAGAGTGAGAGGCTGCTTAGCTTAAGGGTTAGTTTTTCAGCTGGGCCTCTCTGCTGTGCCCCCTGTAGGCCCTCATCACTTTCAGGAGCCACATCACCTCAGAAGTCTAATTGAAATAGACCTGGGCTGGAGTGAGAGGCAGGGAGGTCCCTTCATCTTTACTACCAGTGAGTTAGTGAGCAGAGCTCCGGAAGCGTTTCCTGTGCCTGAATACATCCCATCCTCTGCCTGCTGCACCTCCGTGTCTTCTCAGCTCCAGACAAGCAGTGGGAGTTGGCCACCAGGCCCACAGGACTCCAATGGCTGCCTCCCAGGCCAGTGAATTGTGTAGGAACATGCTAGAGCAGATCTTCCAAGTGCCAGAAGGAGCCTCTACTCCTGTGGGCTCTGATCCACATAGTGGTATTGATGGGAGTGCTCATTACAGATTGCAAACTAGAGCCCAGAAAGGGTCAACGACTTGTCCAAGGTCATGTGGCATCCAAACGGCAGTTCTGGGACTTAAATGTAACTTGTTTAGGCTCACGTTTGCTCCAAATTCTATTTCTCCAGTGCCCTCTGCTCTCAGTCTTGTCACACCAATATCAAGTACTACTAGACAAAAATCCCAAATTCTTGCAAACTTAACCTCTGAACTCTGTGCCAAGGGTAAAGTTGCCTGTCCTAAGGGTCATTCTGTCAGTCTGATGAGGCAAATACCTCTTTTTAAAAATATACATTAAAATCAACCGACCCAGCCACCCTTTTGCAGAAATTGATAAGCTGATCCTAAATTCGTATGGAATTGAAGAGACCCAGAATATCCAAAACGATCTTGAAAAAGAACAAAGTTGCAGGACTCACACTTCCTATTTTAAGACTTACTACAAAGCTACAGGAATCAAAGCAGTGTTGGTGCTGACAAGATAAGCACCTGCATCCATGGACTAACACTGAGAGTCCAAAAAGAGCTATATTTCTGTGTTCAATTGATATTTGACAGTGGTGCCAAGGCCATCCAATGGGGAAAGAATAGTTTCTTCAACAGATGCTTTTGGGACAGCTGACTATCCACACGCAAAAGAATGAGTTTGGACCCATAACTCGGGCCATAAACAAAACCAACCCAATGTCAAAATGGATTGAATACCTAAACATAGGAACTAAAACTACAAAACCAACTGAAACAGCTTGTAGGACAAAGGGAGAGGAGACAGAAAAAGACAAATTGGAATAGTAGAAAGAAAAAATAGAATTATTAGTTATACTGGAATCATTAAAAAAAAAAAGAAGAGAAGGAAGAAAACGGACAAATGAGAAAGATGGAAAGAGGGTAAGGTAGAGCAGAAGGACTTGAGAGGCTGTTTGTGGAGAAGGGACAGGAAGTCTGGTCAGGCAGCAGTAAGCCCTGTGGGAGCCAGTGGTCGTGAGAGGGATCCCCAAATAACCTTTTGTTGCCCAGGATGGCCCAACCTAAGGTGGATGGCGAATCACTCTGCACGTTGGCTCATGGTCACTGTCAACTAGTAACTGTAAGTCACATTTTCTCTAGGATATCAAGACTACATAAACATTTCTCCTTATGTCTTAGCATACAGGTAGTTTAGTGTTTCGGGAGCCCGGTTGTTGCCTCCTCTTGCCTTTCAGACCCAGAGTTCAAGCTTTGACACGATTCTGGTTTTACCATTTCTCATGGGCCTGTTTTGTACGTGTGTATCCAGCAGATGGCGCCGGCATTCTCAAAACTTCAGATTTCACTCTGCAGCAGCACTGCCCAATAGAAATATGATGTAAGCCCTGTTTTCAGTTTCCTGGGAACCACGTTAAAGAAGTGAAATTAATTTTATGATATATTTTATTTAATCCAGTATATCCAAAATATTTCAACATTTAATTATATTAAAAATACTGAAATATTTTCTATTTCTTTTCACACCAAGTGTTAAAAAATCTGTATGTCCATTGATGTACATCTCAATTCAGATGCTAAATTTTCATCAGGAGTTCTTGGTCTATATTTATATTTCTTAGAATATACAGTGAAAAAGTAGATTCACACACCCAAGTTGTTCCAAACACACGAACCTTTCTAAGTTTGCCAGTAACTAAATCAAATATCAGTTCTTAATACAATTTTAGTTCTTTAGTCATACTAACCACATTCCAGATGCTCAGAAGACACGAGGCTAGTGCTACTGTCCTGCATAGCACAACTCTGAATGATCTGTTTTTATGGGCTTTATGGTGTGACTATACATAATCCTCCCATTAGTTACTAAAGGATTGATAGACATTTCTTCCAGGCATGCATTAAGCACGCAAGCTGTTCTTATGGCAGAGTGTTTAACTTGGAGGCAAGGAGTCATGAACTCTCCTGTCAGAAAACATGACCACACCTTATTCATTTTTTTGTAGAGCTAAGCGAAATGTTTTGGATCAAAAATTGCTTTGAATTACTTGTTTTCATTGTAATCTTTCCTCTAGGCCTTTGTGTGTTTTGATACAGTTCCTTTGAATTGGCTAAATAAATCATTTTGTTTGCTTGCAAAATTCCCAAAGGAGAAACTTTAAATCCATATACATGAGATTCCTGCTATGTTTAGCCATACATTTGCCAAAGATTTGTGGGGTTGTTTATTTCCTCTTAAAGCCACAGTGCAGCCTGCGGGACGGTTTTCAGCTAACCTTGTTGTGACATCGAGATGAGGCAGTAGAATTTAGAATTTGGAACAGGGGTGGGTACTGGTCTTTACAGTTAATACAACATAGAGGAGCCACGCCATACGTGCTTAGTTTCTTTTTCAGCCAGTGCATTGAACTAAGTCAGTTATATGTCAAGCAGTTCCTGTAAAAAGCTATATGGCTAAGGTAAGTGATGATAATTAGAATTTGTTGACTTGTTGAAAATCATGAAAGAAAATGAAACCCCCTGGCCTTCCCACCCAGCCCTTGTGAGCTGCCTTGGTGAGGCATTTAGCTAGTGTAGGTTATGGACATCTAGCTTAATGTTTAATGTTTGGGGTCGGGGGGAAAGAATGATATAATAGGTGTACATTATTGTCTAGGAAAACTGGAAAAAAACGAAGCAAGGTGTTTTAATGAAAACCTGGCACTCAGGCCCAGTATTGATCTGTTACTGTGTTTCTTAATAAATCCTGGGCTGCATTTATATACACATGCATATTAAGTGCATGTTTGTGCAGTGATGGGAGTGGTCAGGAATATTCTTTGTCAATCTCAGTTTAAACAGCTTCTTTCTCCACCACATTTCTAACTGCCACATTCTTCCTAACTCTGAAAACTCGCCTGCTTGGTGGCAGTTTTGCCTGGTGGTAAGCATTTTTACTGGGGTACTTTGTTTTCTATTTCTTTTTCTGATTGTTATCAGCAATGAAGCTTCCATGAACTTGAACATGGGGGATAGTTTTAGACACTTGACCCCTCAGTGCCCCTTGCCCTGCCCCATACCTCTCTGTACATGTTGTTCAGGGTTGTTTATGTAAACTAGAAACACAAAAGTAGGCCCTGTTCACAGCCCAGTTCTCCCAGGTCACAAATACATCTGAGAACAGCACTGCTGTCTTTGCAGGGGACCCAGGATTTATTGTCTTCTTTCCAAAAATGAATTGATTTTTTTTTAATCGAGGTTTAATTTACACATAACATACTAGTTTCAGTTGTACAACCTAATGACTTGACATTTGTATATATTACAAAGTGATCACCATAATAAGTCTAGTTACCATACATCACCATACATACAGAATTCTTTTTCTTGTGATGAGAACTTTAAGATCTATTCTCTTAGCAAGCTCTTTCAAATATGCGATACAGTACTAACTATAGTCACCATGCTGTGCATTATATTCCCATGGCTTATTTATTTTATAACTGGAACTTTGCGGTTTCTGACTCCCTTTACCCATTTCGTCCACCCCCATCTTCTCCCTCTGGCAACCACCAGTCTGTTCTCTGTTTCTGTGAGCTTGGCTTTTTGGTTTTTTGGGGTTTTTTTAGATTCCACTTATAAAAGAGATCATGTGGTATTTGTCTTTGTCTGACTTATTTCACTTAGCATAATGCCCTCAGGGTCCATCCATGTTGAAACTCGCAAGATTTCCTTCTTTTTGTGGCTATGTAGTATTCCATTATACATGTGAATCACATTTTCTTTATCCATTCATCCATCAATGGACACTTAGGTTGCTTCCATATCTTGGCTGTTGTAAATAATGCTGCAATGAACATGGGGGTACGGATATCTTTTCTAGTTGGTGTTTTTGTTTTCATTGGATAAATACCCAGAAGTGGAATTCCTGGATCATATGGTAATTCTATTTTTAATATTTTGAGGAACCTCCATATTGGTTTCCATAGTGGTTGCACCAATTTACATTCCCACTAACAATGTATGAGGGTTCCAATTTCTCCACATTCTCTCCAGCACTTGTTATTTCTTGTCTTTTTGATGATAGTCATTCTAACAGGTGTGAGATGATATCCCATTGTGGTTTTGATATGCATTTCCCTGATGATTAGGGATGTTGAGTATTTTTTCATAATTTACAGAAATCATCTTTACCTTAGAAGAGGCTTTATATCTCTGCTTCCAATTATAATCTACATAAGTTTTA